CAAACTTAACTCCATTCACGTTATCACGGTCAACTCTACTTTAAGGAGGCATCTCTCACGCAGTCGCATTTTGAGTGCCTTTCAACCTGAGGTGCTCATTTCTGGCACTGTTTCTGATTGATTCTCTGCTATTCATAAGGTTATCAGTGACTAACGATTCGGAAGTAGTTCGTCACTCTTTCTTCCTTGTCTATCTTTGTCTGGAAGCTCATGTGAAACCTGTCCACCATGGGTGACCCTGCTGGTTATTTTAAAATACCGGTCACATTGCACTCAGAATCACAGCAATTGAAGCCACCACAGCACGGCAGACAGACGAGTAGTGGCCGTTAGGTTTTATGTTTAATAGGTGTTTAATCTTCACTCAGTCTTTTAAAGCATAATTGTTATTACCTTTATTTTTCAGATGAGTACAATGAGGTTAAGGAAGGTTATGTAACTTGCCTGAAGTTCATACAGATGTACATTATGGAACATATGTATATATAATATTACATACTTACATATGCATTACATACTTACATATGAATGACATACACAAACATGCACACACACATAAATATATATTTTTGCTATGTGATGTTGAGTTGACACCAGCTCTTGGCCACCGCTAGCAGTCTGCCTAATCCTGTGCTGATCACTTTCAAATCAGACATCTATGGTCCATACTGTTTTATTTTGCTATTTTTTTTGGAAGTAGGTTATCACACCTTTCTTCTTAGTCTACCTTAGTATGGATGTTCCATTGAAGCCTGTTCAGTCTCATAACAACATACAAGCTTCCACTGACTGATGGGATCTTTTACATGGAAGGTGAAAATATATTTCAAATATAATATAAGACCAAAATGTTAATGGAGGTCATTTCTTGGGGTAGGGTTTTTTTGGATGACTTTTTTTTTGCATTTGGATTACTGATCTCCATTTTATAAATATCCTGCCATTAAACAAAACAAAACACTGTTGTTGTTAAGTGCCGTTAAGTCAGTTCCAACTCATAGCAACCCTGTATAAGGTTTCCAAGGAGTGACTGGTGTGTTTGAACTGCCAACCTTCAAACTGACCCTGTGGTCCAGTGCTTGTCAGATACTGAGCAACAGAGTATAGCTCCAGCTATCAGTCTCAGTTCCTGGCCGGCTGCTTTACCCACCCAAAACCAATGGGGATCTACTCTGGCAGAATACCAAGTATCATTTCCCTAAACAGCAAACAGGGTTGGAATATCATCTTATACCAAACGTCTTATATTATCTTATACCAAATCATTTACATCTAATTGCATACTTACTGGTAGTTAATGAAGTCTTTGGTTTTTCAACAATTGACATTTCTCATCATTATCATTACTATGTTGTTACCATTGTTAAGTGCCATGTAGTCAGTTCCAACTTATAGTGAAACTGTATAGGGTTTCTGAGGAGCAGCTGGTGGATTTGAGCTACTGACCTTGTGGTTCGCAGTCCAGTGATGAAGGTGAAAGTAAATTGACTCCCCTATACCCATGACTATTGTTGTTGTTTTTGTTAAGTGCCGTTGAATTGGTTCCAACCCATAGTGACCCTGTATACGGTTTCTGAGGACCAACTGGTGAGCTTGAATTGCCAACCTCATGGTACAAACTGACTTTGCAGTCTAACATTAGCCCACAGCTCCACACCAGGACTCCACACCATGACTATAGGTGAGCCAATTTTCTGGTCACCTTCTGCCTGAGTCACTTACGAACACAGTCTTCTCCAGACTTCTGTAGACTTTTCTTTTTGTTTCTGGCCTCGTTCCTGCCAGCTCTGTCTCTGTGTCTTTGTATTTCAGGTCAAGCATTCCTGCTGCTGAGAACAGCTAAAGCAATGCTCCCATCCTGTTACCTTGGAGACTGACTCATGCCTAGAATTGGAATTTGCTGTTATCCCTTGGACTGGTTGTTTTAACTTGCTAGCCCTGTGTTTTTCCATTTCTTGCTGGTTGCTTCCAAGTGATCTCAAAACCTTCTCTGTCTTAGCATGCATGCAGTGTAAGAATTTGGCTGTAGATTCTGCTGATTCACTCCTGGGAGTCATTCTTGACAATAGTTACTTCAATAATTTAGTAAGAGTGCTGACATAATTTTGTTAGTAAAGAAGAGTGTAGGTCTGACAGTATACATCAGACAAATGTCTTGGAATAGGTACCAACTGATTGATTACTATAGATTTTGATGTTAATTTCTGAACCTCATATAAAATTAGGTCTTGTATTAGACTGTAAACAACCATAATGAAATGGCTGATATTTTGCCAATGGTACAGGTTATGTACAATGAAAAAATAAATTAGCAATTACAGAGATAGAAACATATATATAGGTTAATGTGCCAGATTGTAAAGCCATTTGAATTGCAAGGTTGGCAGTTCAAGCTCACCACCTGCTTCTCAGAAACCCTATACAGGGTCGCTATGGGTCAGAACAGACTCGATGGCACTTAACAACAACAGCAACAATTGGTTACAACTCATAGCAACGCAGTATAGGTTTTCCAAGGGATGGCTGGTGAGTTCAACCCACCAACCCTGTGGTTCAAACCGACCTTGCTGTCCAGTGCTTATCCTACAGCACCACACCAGGACTCCATATATATACTTACATACATAAGTTAAGTGCCTTCGAGTTGGTGTCACCCATAGTGACACTATATAGGGTTTCCGAGGAGCGGCTAATGAATTTGAACTACCAGCTTTACCGTTCAAACAGACCTTGTGGGCCAATATATTATCCCAGAGCACCATACCTGGACTCTCTCTCTCTCTCTCTCTCTTTCTCTCTCTCTTTCTGTATTTATGGTGTTGTTAAGTGTTGTCGAGTCAGTTCCAACTCATAGTGACCCTGTATAGGGTTTCCAAGGAGCGACTGGTAAGCATGAACCGCCAACCTGGAAGTTCAAACTGATTCTGTAGTCCAGTGCATTAATCCATGGAGCAGCTGGTGGTCCAAACCCACCAGCCGCTCCTTAGAAACTGTATGCAGGGTCACTACAAGTAGAAACTTATAGTGTGGGAACCTTAGTGGTGCAGTGGTAAATGCTTGGCTGTGCTCAGCAGGAGAAAGCTGTGATTCTCTGCTTCCATAATATTTACAACGTTGGAAACCCTATGAAGTAGTTTTACTCTGTCCTTATAGTTGGCTATCACTGCTGACGTCAGATGGATCTGACTGAAAGCAGAGAATACCAAAAAGATGTTTACCTGTGCTTTATTGACAACGCAAAGGCCTTCGATTGTGGGGATCATGACAAGCTATGGACAACATTGCAACGTATGACTATTCCGGAACACTTAATTATGTTCATGAGGAACCTGTAATAGATCAAGAGGCACTTGTTCAAACAGAACAAGGGAACACCAAGTGGATTAAAATTAGGAAAAGTGTGAGCCAGGGTTGTATTCTTTCACCATGCTTATATTCAATCTGTGTGCTGAACAAATAATCCAAGAAGCTGGGTTCTATGAAGAAAAACATGGCATTGGGATTGGAGGAAGACTCATTAACAACCTGCGATATGCAGATGATACAACCTTGCTTGTGGAAAGTGAAGAGGACTTAAAGTACTAACTGATGAAGATCAAAGACTACAGCTTTCAGTATGGGTTGCATCTCAATGTAAAGAAAACAAAATTCCTCACCACTGGACCCCAAAACAACATCCACATCAATGGAGAAAATACTGAAATTGTCAAAGACCTCACATTTTTCTCAGATCAACTATCAACACTCATGGAAGCAGCAGTTAAGAAGTCAAATGATGTATTGCATTAGGCAAATCTGCTGCCCAAGACTTATTTAAAGAGTTGAAGAGCAAGGATGTCAGTTTGAGGACTAAGGTGCACCTGACCCAAGCCATGGTATTTTCAATAACCTCATATACATGCGAAAACTGGACAGTGAATAAAGAATCTATAGAAGAATTGATGCATTTCAGTTATGATGTTGGAGGAGAATACTGAAAGTACCAGGGACTGCCAAAAGAACAAACAAATCTGTGTGGGAAGAAGTACCGCCAGAGTGCTCCTTGGAAGCCAGGATGGCCAATTTCATTTCTCATACTTCTGATGTATCAGGAAGGATGAGTCCCTGGAGAAGGATATCATGTTTGGTAAAGTGGAGAGTCAGAGAGAAAGAGAGGAAGACCACCAGCGAGACAGATTGGCACAGTGACAGCGATGGGCTCAGAGGTAGCAATGATTGTGAGGTTGGCCCAGGATCGGGCAGTGTTTTGTTCTGTTGTGCATAGGGTCACTATGAGTTAGTACCGACTCGATGGCACCTAGCAACAATGATAGGGTGCCTGAGTTGGAATAAATTCGACAGCAGAGAGTTAATAAATATAGTAGAATAATTCTCTATCACTTGAACTTTTTCACTTACCTGAATTAAAAATATTTTGATGCTGTAGTCTTCTAAATCAGTAGCTGTTAGTTGTACATTTTTATGGTTTGCTCTTTGAATCTCCATTTGGGCCCAGAGTTTGCTATTGAGAATCAGCCTTAGGCTGCCTTGATTGCGCATAACTAAAATAGGAAGGGGAATGTATTAGATTCCAGAAGAGTTGATTTGTTACTCTTCTAGAGAAATTTGCCATTTTTGAAAGCAAAATAAATTTTGTAGCTACTTATCAGATTGTATTTCATTCGGTTTGATGACATTAATTTAAATTTGATTATATTATATTTTGTTTTTAAAAGTCTGTGGTCTTTATTATGATGGAAAATTATTATATTATTAATTTTTATCTCAAATGCCAAAAGTATCGTTTTTACTAGGGTATTAAGCAATGGTTAAAACTCTAGAACTCCTTTCAAAATTTTAATAGTTTGAGAAATATTTATCCAAGAATAATTGTTGATAACTGATAAAACTGAAACAAAAATCTTAAGTGTCCAAGATATAGGATTCTTTAAATAAATTATTGTGTAGCCAATGAAGAAATATATTTATTGATGTGGGAAGATTAATAAATATATTTCTTCAATATTTTTAATGATGTGGTAATACTATATTAGAAAAATCAGATTATAAGTAATATGAACATCACAAACCACAAATGTATCAATATAACTATATATATTTGCACATTTATGCATACAGAGAACGATGTCCAAAATAACATATTAACATTGGCTATCGCAGGAAGGTAGTATATGAGTGATTTAAATATTTTTCTTTTTGCTTGTCCATATTTTCTGTTTCCTATACTTCGGACATATTGTCAGGAGGGACCAGTTACTGGAGAAGGATATCATGTTTAGTAAGGTGGAGGGTCAGAGAAAAAGAGGAAGACCCCCCAATGTGATGGATTGGCCAAGTGATGACATCGATGGACTCAAGTGTGGCAACAGTAATGAGGTTGGCCCAGGATCGGGCAGTGTTTCGTTCTGTTGTGCATAAGGTCACTATGGGTCGGTGCCGACTCAATGGCACCTAACAACAACAACATAATGACCTGCATAATAAAAAGGAAAAAACAAAACAAAACAAAAAAAACAGCCTTCTTTTTTTTTTTTTTTTTGGCAGTAGAAGGGAGTAGAATTAAAGCAGAGTACAGAATAAGTAGCACCTGCCTTAGTTGTACTATTTAAAAACATTTACCAGTTTCAGTCAGAAGACACTGTTCCTATTCTTCTAGTTTGAATTCTATCACTAACCTGTTGCTTAGGCTTGTACTTAACCCCCCAAAACATCCATATTCCTGGATCCAGCTTCTAGCTGTCGAGACGTCTCTTCCAAAGACTTAACCTTCCAATGTTAACCCATAAACTCATACTCCCCACCTAGATCTCTCTGCCTATACATATTTTCAATGAAGACCTCTGAGCAATTTCCCAGTTGACTTTTTGGATGGCAAACCTCTCTGCTTTCCAATTGAACTAACTTCTGACTCTGTCCATCTCTCTGCCTGCAGAACTCAATAATGCACAGAAACTGACTCTTTATCCCAACCCCCATACCATGTTTGGAATGCCAAAGATACATTATAGTGCAAGTATTCTGTTTTACAAAAGCTATTTTCACTTCACAGAATAATTTACATAAATTCCTTTCAGTAATAACAAAACGGTGATTTAGGTGTGTACTGGGCTCTGTCAGAGCGGCTTTACATGCATTAGCTCATAAATTGCCACACTCATTCAATGAGTCATGGACTCCCAATGTCCTCATTTTCAATGGACACAATGAAGGCAGAGACAGAGATGAGGGAACTTGTCCAAGGTACCAGTTAATAAGTGGTAAAGCCAGAAATGGAACCCAAGTAGTCTGACGTCAGACTTCACTTTAAACAGGAAGTTTCTCTAGAACTTTAGAAACAACCTGGTTTTCAACAGTCTGACTTATTGAAGTATTTTATAACACATCTCTAGAAAGTGACTTATGTCCATGTCGGAAATTTGACATTGAAAAGTCAAGGCTTGCTTGACAAATGAATTTAGTTCCTTACTTAGTCTTGACTGTAATGTCCCACAGTCACTGCGTGCTGTGTCGTTCAGTCTCAAAATTCCTCTGCCCCTTTCAGTCCAAGATTGTGTTGTGTTGTTGAATAGAAAAAGCTTGCAGTTGATCTAGAGAGCAAAAATTTTAAATATCAAATATATAGAATCCTTTTCAAAGTAAATTGTTTCTTATAACAATTTTGTATTCATCTGCTTTTTTTTTTTTTAAATCAAATAACCTTTATTAGTAATTTGGTGTGGTGCTTACTTGATCACAAGGTCGATTTGAAACACAAGATCAGTGATTCCAACTTAACCAGCTGCACCACAGAAACTCTATACAGGGTCGCTATGAGTCAGAATCAACTTGGTGACACTTAACAACAGTTATCTGCAAACCAGCCTTAAAAATGTATTTAACTTTTAAAAACATCCTATATTTGACTGGTTCAAGCAGCAAAAAGTTAAAAGAGATCTAAGTAAAAAAAACAACACCTTTTATTCCTGTTTCTTGTCTGTCAAATTTATACCTGCACCTCTGTAGACAGGTAACCACTGTTAGTAATATTATCAATATTTTGCTTATCCTTCCAGAGATGTTTGTATATATATTGATATTGTTGGTAGCTGTTGTCAAGTGAATTTCAGTTCATGGTGACACCATGTATGCAGAATTGTTTGTTGTTGTTAAGTGCCATCAAGTCGGTTGCTTTTATAGGGTTTCCAGGAGCAGCCAGTGAGTTTGAACTGTGGACCTTATGGTTGGCTGTTCACTTCTTATCCTACAGCACCACACTAAGACTCTGTGTAAAGAATAGATCTATATATATGCTTCTATATATATCTCCATGTACACACACACACACTATGTTTGCTGTTGTTAAGTGACGTCCAGTTGGTTCTGACTCATAGTCACCCTGTATAGGATTTCCTAGGAGTGTTTGGTGGGTTTGAACTGTTAACCTTGTAGTT